ATAAATGTTAGAAATAAATTTTAAATGTGTTTATGAATTTAAATAAAAATTTAACTATATTATAAATATTTTTATATTTATTTAAATTATATTTATTTACATCATATTTATTTACATATTTTTATTTAACAGAATATACATATTCTATTAATAATAATTATAATAAATAATTAAATAATATAATAATTAATTATATATATATACAGTATATATATATACACACACAGTAGTGTGCGTGTATATATACTTGTATGGTATTTTGGCAGAAACTATGATTAGTGTGTTGATGATGGCTGTCGGCGGAAAGCAGCACAGAGCCAGAAGTGTTTTGAAGCATCAGATGTCGCTACGGATGAGCGCGTGAGTGTGAATGGTGCTCACTGTTAATTCAGATCACAATCTGGATTAGCCATCAGCCTTTACTCGCCTCAGTCTAGACTCCTGACAGAGGATGTAAATCCAGGGGTCACATATCTGATTGCAGGTGGCCAATCGCAGGTAGAACAGAAGGCTATAGGGCTCGACGGCTAGCGAGGACACGACGGTCTTCAGTACGAACATCTGTCCAGAGACACAACATCATCAGACGAGGACAGAGCAGCTCCAGAGGGTTTATTCCTCACATTCAGATGATTGGCTGTGAGTCCCAGCTGTTTGTTTAACTATGGGATCTGTGGACTTACAGATGCTACAGTGTTGGAAATGACATTTAAAGCTAAAACTAGTTTCATTGCTGGCATGTTATGCATCCTAAATATATACAATCATATTTTTTGCATACTATGACAAAATGTCTGGACAAACAATATATATATATATATATATTTCTATAATATTTCATCTCTAAGTAGACTTTTAAAAACTGAGGAATGTTGGAATTTGTGTAAAAAGGGATGTAAATTATGTTCACACAATAAATATTGAAATGGTTTACTTTTATGTTTTGTTCAGGTTGTATTTGTAATTTATATGTGTAAACAAATATATGGATGTAAAAGTATTAACGTATAGTTTAGGACTGAAGGTCTGGGTTTTGGAAGTGAAAAACAATCAAATCTATACATAAAAGGCAGATTAGGATGATAATAAAAATAAATAAATACAAAAAATAAAAATGTAAAACATTATAAAAAATACATTCAGTTTTAATTTAATTTAGTTAATATTTCTGTAAGGGATTGAAGTTTAAAATTTAAAAGGCTCAGATACCGCTGCAATGTTTAATGTTTTGTAATATATGTTTATTTTATTAAATAAAATAGAAACATATGAGCTGAATTAAATATAAATATATTACAAAAAAAAACTAAATTTTTAAAAAATATTTAAAAACGAATACTATATTTTTAAGTGTAATATAATTTCCTATCATATATATTATATTTAAAAAAGACAGCTTCAATGCAACCTTCATATTAAAAAAAAAAAAGGTTTAATCCCTGCCGTATAAAAGTGCCCATATTTTAAAGAAACACCCAGCTGTAGTTAATTTAGCAGACGATTGGCTAACAACGAATTTGTGTTTTGTTAAAAATAGGATGTGTGTGTTTGCTGATGAGGACTTCCTGTTCTTCCCTTCAACAGGAAATGGCTCTTTCCCATTAGTCTTATCAGCGGTTCTCACACGACTCCTTCATGTTCCTCGGCTGGCAGTTTCCTGTGCGTGTTACTTGACGAGTAAAGCGTCTGGCCTCGCGATCAGTAGCGCACCTGCGTCGCGCGGCAGTGTTACCGTAAACAAGACTGAAAACAAGCAGCGTCACGGACAATTATAACCGATTCGGACGATTACAGAAAGCAATTCTAAACAGAGCGTTTGAATCAGATGCGAACCAAAGTCTGAAATGTTGACGTATAGGTAACGTTGTCTTTTTAGTCGACTTGAGGCTGTTCCAAACCTAGTAAGCTGCCTACATAGGTGCTATTTTAAGACCAAATTGTAAGGACTTGTCCCAGAATGCATTGCACAGAACTAAATGAAAAACAAATACAAAATGGTGAATGGGATACTGAAATGTATCAATGTAAAATAGCTAAATCTAATTAAAAAAGGCAATATTTTGCTCAATAAATGTGTGTATCGCGACGTTAGCTTAGCCACACGCTAACACAGACTCTACTGGAATCAATTGTAAAGCTATTTGTGTAGCATTTTCTCTGATTTTGATACAAGTTAAGCTCAGTCGACAGCATTTGGGGCATAATGTTGATTACTTTAAAGCTTTCAACTTTAAACTCATCCCTCATGAATAAAAATGGAGGTTACAATGAGGCACTTATGATTTTTAGAGGATTTAAGATCTGAAAAGAGAAGCATATTTTATAAAAACACTTATTATTTCTTCTGTTCAAGCCTGTGTGTTATTTGAGCTGTAAAGCTGCTTGAAAACGTTATTTTACAGTCCTTTTAGGGTTTTAAGGTTTACGTTGTCATGACAACAAAGTTACAGATTGACTCCAATCACTTCTATTGTATGTTATTTTTGTAATTTTATAATAATAATAATTATTATTATTATTGTTGTTATTAGGTTATGTTAATCATATTACTTAATGCAAGAATATTTTGGCAGACAATAAAAATAAATGAAACCTTATTATAAATAATAATAATTTTAATTATTTATAATTTTTTAATATTACTAGTATTAGTAGTAGTAGCATAAGTAGTAATTTTATAATTGTGATTAATAGGTTAGTTTATTTATAATATTTAATGGAAGAATATTTTTTAAATAATATTATTATTTTATAATATAATAATATTTATAATAATTTTCCCCTTTAGTTCACAAGTTGTACATTATCTCTGTCTCTTATTTTATATAGAAAAGGAGGGAAAGTGGACGTTAATTTTGTGGTAATCAACATTATGCTGTACTCACACTGAACCCGTAATACCAGATTCCTTCTTGGTTACTTTGTAGGCATCTTACTAGGTTTTGTAAACAGTTATTAGCAGCTCATTTTAGGTGCGTCCCAAATCGCGTACTTATGCACTATTCTGTGACGTTTTCTAGTATAAATAGTGCGAGTAGTGCGTTCACACTGAAAATTCCAAAAAGAAAAAGTGCACTTTAAATACCCGGATGATGCACTTAAATAACCGAAAAAACTAAGTGTGGAATGTTGGACACTTCATGCACTCAACTGTCGCAGCTTTAATTACGTAACGAAGGGGGAGGGGCTATCAGACTCCGATTATAAATGACAAAATAACCTTATATAATTCATACACTACATGGTTGAGTACATAGTGCATAAGTACATAGTGTATGAGTGCATAGTGTATAGTGCGTCATTTGGGACGCAGCTTTTGACTCATTCAGACTTAGCATTTGTCAAGTGTCGATGTAGTTCAATCACTCACCAGTAGAGGGCACCAGCAGACGGAGGCGATGGCCATGATCAGAATCAGCTGCACCATCATCTCCACTTCATAGTCTCGTCTCCGCTGAGCGCTGTCCTGTCCGCAACACACCCTCAGTAGGGTGACGACGCTCACCGTGTTGAGCAGGAACGACACGGCCAGCGACAGCAAACCCACGAGCGAGAAGATCAAACCGAAGGTCATATCCAGCGGTCTGGAGCTAATGTTGAGGAAGCACCAGGAACCGGGGATCTGGAGATGGTAGCTTCCCAATCCGGCCAACGGTAGGAGACTGATGCAGCCGGCCGTGACCCAAACCATGGCCACCGTCGAACACGCTCTGCTGTTGGACATGGCGGTGGAGCGGGCGAAGGGGCGGT